CTGTGCTGACAGAGCCTTTGTGAATGCAAGGTCAAGGTTGTGCCAGGATGAGGTATAGGAAAAGGACTTTGGTGGAGGAATCTTCCTTGACCCTCAGCCACCCAGTGACCTTGGTTACCACCTAGGGCCTGATCTTTGGAAGGACTATGAGACTGCCTCAGGCTGGGAAGGTATGTATGTGGGGGGGGGTGTTTTCAACTTTCCAATGTTTAACATCTCTTAAAACTTTTCCTCACTCAAAAACAAAACAAAATGGTCTGTTGAAGCAAAACCTGGTTGGCCTTTTTCATCTTAGCAGTCTCTCTGCTGGATTTCTCACTAATAAATGCACCTTAGGAAGTTTTAAAAGACAAGTCCTTCCCTCTGAAATTGAGGCCTGGCTTCTCTCTCTCAGGCCCTAACAGGCAGGTGATTAATCCCTCAGTAGAATAATCATTATCACTGAAAATTCACTGCCAACTTAAAGCCAGCTCAGCAACCACCCAGCTGCTTCAGCTCCCTCCCACCAATCTAGCAGGAAAAGCATCACCAGAGGAAATGAGCTCTCCCCACCCAAACCAATTGAGTCCTGATTGCAGGCCAAATTATTTCAAGGAGCTGGCCATGCAGATATTATAAGAGATTATAATGGCTGTTATTAATCACCAACACTTCACGCACTGATGCTCTGATAAGCAGGAAATGACAACTCCTCTTAATCAGGGCAGACGGCTGCTGCATCCTCGGTGGGCTGGGAGCAGAACGACAGGAGGGCACCTTCCACTCAGGGCTCAATGACAGGAGTCACACACAGCTCAGGCTACACAGACTCACAGAGGCAGCGTGATCTGAGGCAGCAAGCACCCCCAGCTTTGGGCTGTCAGGGTCAGAGAGAACCTGTCAGGTGCTTGCCTCATCAAGGACTTCTGCTGTGAACACGAAAGAATCCCATCTACCCTGTCTTTCCAACAGTGGTGACTTCTAACGAGATTGTACTGGGTTCAGCCTTAGTCTGTGAATCGTTCAGTAGAACATGATCCCTAATGAATGGATGCATTTTAAACAACATGAAGTCAGCAGGGTAAAATGGAAATAGCCCGCGGTTTTTAAAAAAATAGTAGGATCTGTGTTCAAATCCTCACCCTGCTCCTTGTGACCTTGGGCAAGTCATTGAAATTTTCTTGGCTCATTCTCATACCTGTAAAAAATGGGTAGAGGTGGGGAGAGATCATTCCTTTTTTTTTTTATTTTAGACCTAAATACTAAAACTTAAATATACAATAAGAAAAAGAAACATTATAAACAAGGCAATCATTTCTAACATCCTTTACAATTCACTCTTCTTTTAATTTTTAGGCAATTGGGGTTAAATGACTTGCCCAGGGTCACACAGCTAGAGAGTATCAAGTGTTTGGTCTGAGGCTGGATTTGAACTCAAGTCCCCCTGATTCCAGGGCCAGTGCTCTACCCACTGCACTACCTAGCTGCCCCTACAATTCACTCTTTCCAAGTTTCTTCCAACTCTTCCCTTCCCCCAAATACCTTCCCATGGGGGTTACATCCCATTTACACTGTAACAATTTTGTTTTTATGTGTATTGTCTCCTCCTTTAGACTGTGAGCCCCTTGAAGGCAGGTACCACGTTTTTGCCTTTCTTTGTACCCCAGTGATTAGCACAGTGCCTGGTATACCGTAAGCACTTAATAAATGCTTATTTGTAGTTGGAAAAACTGGGATGCCCAGAACTTACGAGCCTTTTTGTAACAGGATCTAGCAGTATAATCTAGTCTTAAAAGCACAGGACTGGAAAAGACCTGGATTCTCATCCAAGGAGGAGACCTCCACCCATTCCACTGTGTCCTTTCCACTGAGGCACTTTGCTTAAGTCCTCTGTGCCTCCCATCTCCCACAGTCCTAGTAAGTGGACCTTGTATTTTCTTTAAAAGCATGGCATGAGAAAACAAGACAACAAATATCAGGGCAATTTCTGCTTTCCAGAGGATCAGCAGGCTCCACATCAAGCTCCATAGTACAGCTAGGGGCTTCACTGGATATAGCCCCGGGTCTGTGGTCAGGAAGACCTCAGTTCAAATCTGCCCTCAGACACTTACTAGCTGTGTGACCCTGAGCAAGTCACTTAACCCCTTTTGCCTCAGCTTCCTCATCTGTAAAATGAGCCGGAGAAGGAAATGGCAAACCACTCCAGGGTCTCTGCCAAGAAAACCCCAAATGTGGTCATGGAGAATGAGAGGTGACTGAGAAGTGAACAGCAAACAACAGACTCCAATCCAACATAAAGTAACATTACAACAGCTACAGCTGTTCTACCTGCTACAAAGCTACACCCCTGGGGTTGGGGAATAAGACCACTAAACACATTTAAGGGATTTCCACCAGGGTAAGACTTATAGTACAAGCAAATCCATTATATGCCTCCTAACAGGCATTGTACAACTGGGTTTTACTTGAACATTATCTGTGTTAGAGCTGGAGAAGAAATCCAGTCCAGAGCTCTATCTGAAGACTACAGTCATTCTGCAGAGACACCCCTGGGTGACACATTTCTCCTAGGGCCTGCACCTCGCCTAGGCCATTTCCTCATCTTCATGGTCCACAATCCTTCTTCCCTCATTTGTTATTTTTATCTCTCCCAGGAGTAAGCTCCCCTCACCAACAGCACCTTAAAAATGAATATCCGGAAGCTCGCTCCCCACCCCTCCCTGACCTTACTTCCTTTGTTTAATTTATTTCTCTTTCCCAGCGTGGACGCGGGTCCTCACCGCCATCACGAGGGCTCTGAGACAAAGCTCTCCGTCAGGGCTACAAACAATTCGCCCGGATGCATGGCCACTGGCCAGGCAGGGCTGGGAAAGCCAACTCTGTGAAGAATTAGGGCCTCATTAAGGTGTGGGTGAAGGAAGAGGAGCTCAAACAGAGCAGGACTGATTGACCCCAGTGCTCTGTAATGGACAACCAATAGAGGGGGGAAACAGAGGGCTGTTGGACTGGCTTCCAAGATCAAAAAGTGAGGTGGGCAATTTCCAAAGACTTAGCTGTTACCTGATAAAAAGGGGATACACCCTGCCCCCCCCAGTTTTGTTTTTTTTTTAGTACTGCACAATATTTGTGAGGCAGGACAGGTGTTCACAAAATTGTTTGCCCTTAGTTTGGCTTCTGATAGAAAGTCTACTAGTTTTGTGTGCCTTCCCTGCCCCACCCAGCAGGATTAATTGATAAAGACTCTAAAGTAGTAACAACAAACCAGGATGCTTGTGATCACCAAGGGAGAAAGAGTGGTTTATAGTTAGACTCATAATATTAGAACGGGAGAGGATTGAATCTAACCTCTTCATTTCACAAATAAGGAAACAAGCTAAGAGAAATGAAGCAATTCACTTAAGGTCAGTCACCGAGGCCAGGATTGGAACCCACATCTCCTAAATCCTAGGCTGGTTCAGGTACCTAGCCAACAGAATTGTTTCCTGAATGTTTTTAAATTTTGTTTTTAAGCTGGATGATTCCCAGGTAGGCAAGAATAGCTCCATGGACCTTGGAAAACTGTCACTTATTGGAATG